CTCACTCTCCCTGGGTATTTTTAACCTTCATACTTTGTAAAAACTTTTATTTTCATTTGGTATTCCCAAAAATGAGTTAATTCGTTGAAATTCCACCTACTGGATACGCCAGACAGCACACGTGCTATATTTCCTTCCGCGCTAATTGGTGCTGGCTGACCGGCGTTTATGAATGCAGGGGACTCCGTGACCCGAGAGACCACGGTGACCTCAGAGAGTCAGAGACTCCGGTGACCCCAGAGACCTCGGTGACCCCAAAGGCCACGGTGACCTCAGAGACTCCGGTGACCCCAGAGCAGGGGCGGCACGCACAGTGATGCAAATGGGGCTCACGAGTGGCCTTAAATACCGAAAAGGCCCAAATTTCAAGTTCACCTAATTGAATAAATCGTAGTATGGCCAGTCAGGCAAATGTTTGGAGTGTCTGAAAAAACATGTCTTTCATGTTTTTGTCAAAACCGGCCTCGTGTATGATTGTCAGAAGTCGTGACATTTTCTATGTCGTAAAATGACTGTCAGATACTCGCAACTTCAAACGCCGCTAGCGTGCGGCCAATTCATACAAATGACAAAAATTATACATGGCAATTATCCCCAAGGTCTGTTGCTTCTAATGCAGGGTAACAAAAAGCCGCATCTCTTTTGGTTTGGCGTTGATCTAACTATTTGTCATCATGTTGCAATCGCAGTATTTTACTTAAAAATATTTGCTTTCGTTTCACCTAGAGCAGTTTACACAGTGTGTCCCCGTTAGTGCACCATACCATAGCATTCCGTACTCATTTCTGAGCCACACTGTGAAAGAATGAAGGCGCTAGCACAGGGTTGAACGGCGCTACTAAAGTTTTCGTCCGTTGCGGTCGGGTGCCGCGGCGCGGTGGGCAGCCCGGGCGACCGCGCCGCGGGCGGCCGGCCTCAGCGGGGGTTCGTCGATGCATCCCTCTGCTGTTCCTAAACGAAGTGTCCAATCGCCTCACGACAAAAACCAATGGATTGCTCTTGACAAGATCTCGTGAGTGAGCATATTACTTTTGACTTAAGGTCAATATTTGACCTACTTAGTACTTATAGCAGTTCAAAGTTAAACGTCTGTCGAAATTGCGATCCGCGGTGAAAGCAATCCGCCCCGACCGCGACACCCGACCGCGCCGGACAAAAACTTCAATAGCGCCGGTCTGCCCTGTGCTAGCGCCTTAATCCTTTCACAGTGTGACTCAGAAATGGTTAGGGAATGATATGGTATGGTGCACTAACGGGCACACACTGTGTAAACTGCTGTAGGTGAAACGAAAGCAAATATTTCTTAGTAAAAAACTGCGATTGCAACATGATGACAAATGATTAGATCACCGCCAAACCAAAAATGATGCGGCTTTTTTTTTGTGATCCGGCATGAGAAGCAGCAGGCTTTAGAGATCATTACCGTGTATAATTTTTGTCATTTGTATGAAATGAACGCACGCTAGCGGCGTTTGAAGTTGCGGGTATCTGACAAGTCATTTTACGACATAGAAAATGTCACGACTTCTGACAATCATACACGAGGCCAATTTTGACAAAAATATGAAAACTATGTGAATTCAGATGCGCCAAACATTTCTTTGGTTAGCCATATAGCGATTTACTCGGTTTGGTAAACTTGACTTTTTGGTATTTATGGCCACTCGTGAACCCCATTTGCATCACTGTGGCACGTCGTGGTGTGACCTTGGTGACCCAGGCAGGCCGCAGGGACGGCCGATCGTCGTTGGCTGAGGATCAGTGACCTGTCACGGATTGTGACCCCGCTGACCCAGACAAAGCCGCCACGGGCTGAGGACATGCTGTAACTCTGGTGACCCAGACGAATTTGTCTCGGGTTAGGGACTGTGAGACTCCCGGCCTGCAATCGTGGGGTCCCAGACAGGGCCACGATCATGGGCCTAAGACAATGTGACCCCGGCCGTCGTGTGCTGAGGACATGCTGTGAACCTGGCACTCAGACAAGGCCGTTTTATGCTGAGGATATACTGTCACCCTGGTGACAATACAATTCCAAACCGGGCTGGAGATATGATGTGACCCCGCGGACCCAGACAAGGCCGTGGTGTGCTAAGGATTAAGTGAGACCCAGGGACCCAGACAAGGCCGCCGCTGGCTGCCGGCGGGCTGCAGTGTGACGCCGGCGATCCAGACCAGGTCGCCGCTGGCCGGGTACAGACACTGTGACCCGGGTGACCCAGACAAGGACGGCCGGCCGGTCGATATAGCACCGCGGTCTCCAGATCGGCGACAGAGTGGGGAGAGGATCCTGGATCGTTAGCCTCTAACGGACAATTACGGTGGTCATCAGCCGTCAGCACTGAGCTGCCATCAGCCAGAGGCGTCATGAGCTGTCAATAATAAGCTGTCAACAGCGCGAGGCGTCATTAGCTGTCAACAATGAGCTGTCAATAGCCAGAGGCGTCATGAGCGCCCAGAGGCGTCATATGAAAACACGGGATCTGTCAACGAAGAACTGTAAGGAGAAGAATCTAACCAGAAAAAAATCCGCCATAACTTTCAACCAGCGTATCCCACCGTAGCTGTCAAATGCGAGCAGCAGAGCTGTCAGCACCATAGCTGTCAGAGGCAGTTATTGAGGGTCAGACGGCGTGCCTCACTCGGGCCCATAATTTCTGCTGACTGTTGTTGGGGGTTTAGGGATTTCTGTTTCAACATCAAACTCAATGTATCATCGAATAAAGCTTGCAATTAGTCAGTAGCGGCGGAAAGCCTTCAATCAAGAGGGGGGGGGGGGGGCACTGCCGACTTTTGGTCCCAATGTTAGAATGCCTAAATCAAAAGGGGGCACGGTGTCCCCATGCCCCCCCCCCCCCGTTCCGCCGCCTATGCAATCAGTCGCATCTATACATTAAACTCGTTGGATTCTCAATAAATTTCGGGATCGAGGCACATACAATGGACACTGCCATCAAATATCGTCAGCGTTGCCTACCACCATTTTATAACTCGTCTTCAGTGTAGAACAAACCGCAATGGGTGCTGACAGGGAGCAGGGAGCTAACAATTGTCCCTTCCCCGGCGAAGACTGGTCACAAGGGTGCCGACATCTCCGGAACGACAGGAACGCCATTTCCCTAACAAACGTGCCCATTAGTTATTTGGTCGAGTTTTTATGGGTGAAACAAGAGCCTCGAGAGACCATACCTGCCAGCCGCGCTACACTGCGTGCCGCAAAAACTCCGCAAACGAGGCACACGGCGACAAATTGGATGGTGACGTCATTATTCTGCCCTTATTTACTGACGTCTCCATTCGTTGTCGGCTCGTTTTTTTTTTTTTGTGCGGAATGTTGGATAGGAAAACACACTGGTACAATACCAGGGTAGAGATGGTGAAAGGAGCAGGAAAATGTTAGTGCCGAAAGATGCTTTTGATGCTTTTCGGCTGCATTCTTTCCACGGCTTTTGATATTTTCGCCTCTTTGGAAAATGGCAAATTAACCTAGCTCTAAGCAGGACATAATTTATGTTTTTTCTTCTTTATTTTGTATCACTCCGCTGTTCATGGTTGGGTTGTGCCTCCTTGTGCGGTTGACATTTGCCTTTGGGCCTCTTGGCTCCTCAGTCTCCATGCACGTCGCTTGCTTTTACATGAATATGTTCGTCGGCCGACCTCTTTTCTGCTCTCTGCAGAGTGCCTGTCATGCTCGCTGTCTCCATTCTTTGTCTGAAGGTGTGGGCAGACTGAGCCCTCTCCTGCTGCTGTCTGCGGGTCGCACAGAGACAGACGCGGCCCGCACAACGACCCCAGAGGGCAGAGCAGAGCAGAGGAGAGGGGAGAGGCGCGCTGCCACCGTTCCTCGGAGCCGTGTCCCTGCGGTGGCTGCCCGCCTAATGGGGGACGGCTGCCCTAACGAACCGTGCTGATAAAATGATTCCTTTATCGCCCCCCAGCCGGCCGGAAACCGCCGCGGCGCGTTTTGTGCTGACTGCACCGAGTCGGTCGGACGGGTCTGCCCGCCGCCCCGCCGGCGCTCTATTGATTCGGCCGCCCCCGCCCCCGCCCTGGCCGCCGCCGCCGCCGCCGCCGCCATCATCCGCAGCGGTGCTGAGCCTTCCTCGGCGCCATGAAAATCGCCCTCATGCATCCGACGGCGGCGCGGAGAGCAGCGGCCATTTTTATCCTGCCGAGCCCGGCCCACACCTTCCGCCTCTGCCCGTCAGCTGAATAGATCAGCTGCTCGTGCGTTATGTAATCTCCCTGTTTCTTTTTTATTATATCTATGTCCGTTTCTTCGGCCGCTCTGTTCTGGATTCGTGTGAGAAATTCGAAAAATGAAGTGTTTCTTATGAGCCGTTTCCAGAATAAATTTCTCTGGCCAGATTAGATTGAGCCCCGCCCCTTTCTGTCGCTGTTCACCGGCTTCTTTTGCGCACTGACCCGACCCTCCTGGCCCGGTGAAGCCCACCAATAGCATTTCCCAGCCGTGCTACCACCCCTCCCGCTCTCCTTCCCTACCAAGCGGCCTCAGACATTAATACCGAGCGGGAGCTGTTGCGTGAGACACTCGGGACTAAGGCAATTCCTGCATGATTATTTTAGTTTTCCATTTGGGAATGCTGATTGTCTTTGGATCAGCTGCCGGACAATCACAATTCGGTCTTACTATTTCCATCAAGATTCCTCATCACTAGCTAGAAGGTGAACAGCTGCTGTGCATATCGTTTCCTTCCCCCCCCCCCCCCCCAACGTCCGATTAATAGTTGACATGTCTTCCGACACCAGCAAAGTATCACCTTTTGTTATTGGCCACTTTGGATGTACGAAGCTACATACAAAGTTTCTTCGTAATTCAACTGACCTTTGATCTGCATCTCGCGGTATGCTTCCGAATTCCAATCATCTTTCAGGGATCTCTCACCCCAGACCTCAGTCAACCCTAACCTCTGACCTTTCCCCTGATCTCCGACTGATCACTGCTGACCTTTGACCATTCTGTATCGTTTCTGCCTCAGTTTTGAAGGACGAGTTCAAGATGATCCCTGTGGACACCAAGGTGGCGGTCGGGGGACAGGCCCTTCTGCGCTGCTCGCCGCCCAAGGGGGACCCGCCGCCGACCGTGCGGTGGAAACTGAACGGAAAAACGGTGGACATCTCCACCACCGACCGGTAAGAGCATAACGGTGGACAAGGTGGTGTGGGTGGAAGGCGAGTGGACAGTAGAAAACGTGCTGGTGTGTCAGCTTCTTCCTTTGTTATGTATTATGTATTATGTATGGCTGATTAATTGTAGTGGGGATGTTTTCGCTTCTTTGTACTGAGTTTGTAAGAATAAGGCATCTGCACTGCAACATGCAAGTCAGATTACCTAAATGTTTTTTTTTACCATTTGATTTCAATTCAGTTACGAGGTCTTAATAATTTTATTCAACATTTCACACTAGAAAAACCAGACTCCAGAGTAGATGCAGAGTGCTAGTTCATATGACACATTGATTTCCATCGAGTGTCGCCCACCATGGGCGATGTCTGATGTTCATTAGCCCGATGGTCTGGTGACTCGTGTGTCTCTGGCGGCAGGCTGAAGATACAGAATGAGGGCGACCTGCTGATAGACGGCGCCACCGTCGAGGATGCTGGGAAGTACGTCTGCGAGGCACACAATTACGCCGGGATGCACCGACAGACTCCCTCCGCCGTCCTGTCCGTTCATGGTGAGACATCGAGAGTTGTAGCTGATTAACACCCTGCGATGTGTTTGTCGTAGTCAGACCCTGTCTGCTATGCCTAGGCAGGGCTGGAGAGCTAAATCTTCTATCCTAAATTTAAAGTAACTAAATTGAGCCGGGTTCCTAATTCATCCCTGAGTATCAAAACCTCCCGAGCCTTCTTAGACCGGCGTGAGATTCTCTTACACTAGCTAATATGAAGGCATCAGACACCAGCCGCGTAGGCCGTCTGAGGCTGACAGGTGACGTTCTTTCACGGGAAGAGTTTGATCACTCTGATCGGTTTGCGCAACCCTGATGGTCGGTTGTAGGCCTTCGCATATAGGGTATCAAGCATGGGACCCGGGATATGTGCGGTACCATTTATTCACGCCTCAACTTGACTAATTGTATTTTCGAGCTAGCAGGGTTGGCCGTTGACCTTGTTTGTCAATCTCTCAAAGGATTTTCTACAGTTCGGTGACATATTGTTGTTTTCGGAAGCCCGTCTCAATTTGCCGTTCAGGGTCAGCGACGTCAACATTCTCGGCTTCGGCCCAATATCAGGCCGTTTCCGAATGTCGCAGTTCTGATAGCACGTCTCGGCCGAGAAATATCGTCAGTTCAGACGGCACCGTATTGGAATGGCGTCTGTTTTCTTCGGCAGTGCTCTGATCCGCTTTTTATCGTCATATCGACTGAAGGTAGTCCAATAGCGATATCCCCGGGATACGCCGATATTGGGTTACCTCGGCAGCTGATTCCCTTCGCGGCCCTAGGGACCGGAAGCTGGTGGGTTCCGGTGGGTCCGTGGGGCCGACCCGTGCTCCCCCTCCCCCTTCCCCACCGCTGGGTCTTATCCACCACCATCCGTGGTCTCTCTCTGTGTCTTTTTATCGTAGCCATTTCGTTGCTAGCGTCCTTTTATTACGGAGAGGATTCGGCCATCCGTCTCTGAGCCGAGAAATGGCCGCCCGGCTCGCATTGTAGACGGATGGCGCCGGATGGAGGCGGCCTCGGTCCAAAACCGGCCGCGCCCGCCAGACCCATGGGCGGGCTTTATTGCAACAGGAAACTGGCGAGAAGGAGCCGAATCCATTACGGTTCGCCGAACATTTGGAACAGCCGCGGCTGCAAAACGGCGGTCCGACTGGGAATCATGTGTTGGTAACGTCGCCATCCGAATCGCGTTTGGAGAAAGTTAGCTTGTAAGCCAGTTGTAAAATAAGATCATGTTTGAAGTGCGGTACGTTGAACATGGGTTTTCAAGAGCGCTAAGCGTCGCTTTGCCTGCTGTAAAAAAAAAAAACTTTCTATAACACTAAAAACTGTCTTTAAAAAAAACTAAAAAAACTAAAAAACTAAAAACTTTCGAAGTCCTTCGTCATTTTGTGGTGTTAAAACGTAGGTCGTAGCAGCCTTTAAAACGTTTACGTTCCCTTACTCTTCGGCACATAGCCTGCAGTATGTTTCAAATGTGAAATGGTGGCCGATTTTTCTTATTTTAGAGACATGTGCATCTGTCATATATAAGTAATGCAAGTCGCTGAGCATTTCATAATTATTTTCCCATGATCCACTTAGCCACGTAATAATTAAGAGTAATCTGAGGAAGTTTGCATCCGTTAGAATCGCTTTATGATGTTTACCTAGCATGACCGAATTACCCAAAGCGATCTCCCGATGTCCCTCTAACCCTCCCTGCCTCTGGCTGTCTGGCCGGCAGTGCGTCCGCACCTGGTCGACGCGCCCGCAAACGCCACGGTCCTGGCCGGTGAGTCGGTGGATCTGGTCTGCCGGGTGGCCGGTGACCCGACTCCAGCCGTCTACTGGAGCCGCCAGAACGGACGCATGCCCGTCGGAAGAATCGACCTGCTGCCTGACAAGACACTGCGTATTGAGAATGTGCAGCCGCAGGACGAGGGCCTCTACGTCTGCGAGGCGGAGAATCCTGTGGGAAATGTCACCGCCTCGGCCACCGTCACCGTACACTGTGAGTTGACATGCATAGAGTTCCCGTACTGCCGTCACGGTATGTGGTTTAGGTTCAGTTTCATCACTACCGTAACGCCAATAGTTATTTGTGTTATTTTCTACCTTCACTGTCTGTGTGCTACTTAGCTCTCGGTTGTTTGCTTTGCGGCACAGTCTACCTTCAGGCGCTGACGTCGCCTGCCATCTAGTGGCAAGAATTTAAGCTGCACTGCAGTTTCGTTATGTTGGATAGCGTGTGCGTGCAGACTGCAGCGGAAGATATTTGCTGACGCTTTGCAGCAGCCTAGCTTTTTAACAGGGTGCTATAACGCTAACAGATTGATGGAAAATTATAAAATTGGGTTTGTTGGAAAATTACAAACAGAATTGACAGAACGTTTTAACGCTTGCTGGTATGGGAGCACTGAGTCGCCGCCGTTTCGAGTTAATCTTCTGTCTCAGACACTCCATTTCCACTCTGCTCCCGGAGTCTGACCCCTCCCCTCTCTCTGCCCGCAGCGCCGCCGTCTTTCGAGCGGCCCCCGAGTGACCACCGCGCGGCGCTGGGTGACTCTGTGACCCTCGAGTGCGGCACCACCGGCCGACCGCCGCCCGTGCTCTTCTGGTCACGCGCCGGCTCCGATGACGCTCTGTTCTCCGGCGATACCCGCGGCCGCTTCAGCGTCGGTGTCGACGGCAGCCTGCACATCGCTACCTGTCAGGCGGGCGATCGGGGTCATTACTCCTGTACAGCGGTGAACGCGGTGGGGTCGCTGGTAGCTCGGGCGCACCTGGAGGTGGCGGAGAGCGGGGCTGTACGCCCGCCTCCCGTCCTAGCCGTACTGCCGGCGAATCAGACGCTGCCACTCAACTCTCCTGCCCTGGTGCCGTGTCGGCCGGCCGACAGCACGGCTACTGTGAGCTGGATGAAGGACGGTCGACCGATCACCCCCGGTCAGCCCCGGGTTCAGCTGGACACAGATGGGACGTCGCTCAAAGTGGACGGTGAGGCAACGCAGCGGGAGGGCGAGGGGATTTTTTTATGTGGAATACCTGGTCGGTGTTTCATTTTTATAAAATGCGTGCACAATGTAGTGCTCTTTTTTATATACTGAAATAGACGAATCAGCTACAAATAAGATAGTATTGAATAATTATGCTCCACTGTTAAGAGTCATGTTCATTTGTTTTACTTTCAATATGGCTTATGCAGAGCTGCATAATTATTGTATAGTCCTGCAATCATATGTGCTGTGTAGATCGTATATTTTGTCTGTAAGCTGACTTGACTCTCATCAGGCATGTATCTTCTCCCCTTAAACCGTCCGTCCATGTGTTTTCACAGACCTGCAGCTGTCGGACAGTGGCCTCTACACCTGTACCGTGACCTCAGTGACCGGAGTCAGCACATCGGCCTCCGCACGGCTCACCGTCGCCAACCCGACCAACCCCAACATCCAGTTTCATCGTCTGGCCGGGCCGGGGTCGTACCCGTCGGCTCCGCAGCGTCCGCGGCTGGTTGGCCGCAACACCACCTCAGTGGAGCTGTCGTGGAGACCAGGCAGGCAGCTGGGCGGCTCAGCGCTACAGGGGTACAGAGTGGAGCGCTACAGCCCGGATACGGATGACGGATGGGTGACAGCCGTACAGAGAGTGGCAGCCGAGACAGTGACGGTCACCGGACTCCGGCCCGACACCACGTATGTGTTTGGAGTGAGGGCGGAGAACGGTCAGGGATTGTCACCGCTCTCCGAGCTCTCTGTGCCGGTTCACACCCTGCCGGCGCCGGCAGAGGGGGCGGAGGGAAGGAGGATGGCGGAGGCCAGCCGCGCGCTCCAGGAGTTTACCGTCAAACTGGAGTCGGCCACCGCGGTGTCAGCCACGGCCGTGAATCTGCAGTGGAAGGTGGGTGTGGTAGTAGTAGTAGTTTATATTGTGCTGATTACTGGGCAACCAGGGCTTGTTTGCTGGTATATCGGGCGATCAGCTTTTGTTTGCTATTATCATATGGACCTGAAACTGGAATTGTATTCATTTCTCCTTTTGCGGGTGCTAGTTGGATAATATTACCTATAGAAACAGGAGCAGTTGAAAGAATAACTTAACCTCCTAAAGTAATGACTACACTTTAGAGCGTCAGTTAAAATGTAAAACATGAGCAGATTCAGGATTTTTGTTTTGCCTCTCTGAATTCAGCGCAGTCTCCACCACCACCCCTATCGCTCCCTGACGTCTCTCCGCTCTCGTTTCAGATCGTCTCCGGCGCCGACTGGGTGCAGGGTCTGGTAATCCGCTACCGTCACACCGACTCGGACTCGGACCAGCCCTTCCAGTCTCTCAGCATCCACAGCTCGGGGGCCGCCGGATCCTACGTGGTCGCCAGCCTGCTCAAGTTCGCCTCGTACCAGTTTTTCGTGGTGCCCTTCTTCCAGTCGGTGTACGGCCGGCCTTCCAACTCGCGGACCGTGCGGACACTGCAGGATGGTGAGAGAGGATGGGAGGGGCTGGAGAGAGGGATGGGAGGAGCGGAGAGAGGGATGGGAGGGTCTGGAGAGAGGGATGGGGTCGGGACAGAGGGATGGGAAGGCCCTGGGATAGTCAGTGGAATGATAAAACGGCTACCTGGTTGTTATGGTAGCTTGTGTCATTAGACATCGATGTGTAATGTGTGAGATTGTGCAGAAAGGAAATGCCGTTAAAAGTCACATCCTCACCTGCATTCAGCTACAAGCACAAGTGGACAAAATCAGCTATGAGAAATAATGCTCATAGCCGTTTCGTTATTCTTAGAAATTCTATAGTTGGAAGTTGTATGTACCGGCCTGCGATAATGCGCGACATTAAAGTGTCTCCCAAATAACCGACCGTTTGTGCGGTTACAGCCCCCAGCGGGCCGCCCCTGGAGCTGGAGGTGCGGCCGCTCAACTCGACTGCAGCCGTGGTCTCCTGGTTACCGCCCTCCTCGTCCGAGCGGAACGGCATCACCCGCGGCTACCGGCTGCAGCTGAGCCAGCAGCGCGCCAGCTTCCGCTTCAACGTCACCGTCAACAGCTCCACCACCCAGGTGATCCTGAAGAACCTCACGGCCGGCGCCGGCTTCTCCATCCAGCTGGCGGCGGTGAACGAGATCGGCACGGGGCCCCTCTCCGAGCCGGTACACTTCCAGATGGCGCCCGACGCCAGCGCCCCTGGCGGCGGCGGTGTGAACTCGCGCCAGGTGCCGGCCGCCGGCGGACTCTTCAGCCAGGCGTGGTTCATAGCGACCATTGGGGGCCTGCTGTTTGTTCTTCTCACGACTCTGGTGGCGGTCATATGCTGGCGCAGGAGGCGAGAGAAGAAGGCGCTCGGAAATCTGACCGGTGAGAGCCGCTAATGGTGAGGGGTCTATTCTTAGGGAAGGTAGGCTCAGAAGCAGTGGAGGAGTGTTGTTGAATAAGTCGGCATGACAATACTTTTACCAATTCTCTTTCTATGCATAAATCTCACACTCGTGAGTCAGCATTGCCATTGCGCGCGTTGTAAAAAGCTAAGCTTTTGGTCTCCCCAATAGATGTCGGTAGTAGTAAACCCCTGGAAGTTATGCTGTTCCGCACGTCACGGGTTGATCAATTGAATAAATAAGTTTTGGCGTATCGAGATGTTTTATGAACGAAAATCCAGACCGTTCGCTGCGTTGATTCGCAACGTCACTATGAACTCTTCTCGATGCAATTACAAGAGTGAACGTTATGAGATATTCCCGTGCTTGTATGTGTCTGACCACACTCTCCCCTCCCTCTGTGTCTCTAGTGCACATTCCCCTCCTAACCCCTCTGACCTGCCCCTCCCTCCCTCCATCTCCAGTACCGTCCGGGAAGCCGGACGACATCTCGCTCCTACCTCTACAAACGGAGCGTGGCCCTCTCTGGATCGACCCCGGCTACGATCGCGGCTGGCGCGGCGACTTCCAGAAGCCGTCCGAGGCCAAGCTGCTCAACTGTGAGCTGCCCGCGCTGGTACCGGCCGAGTATGCTGAGCTCGACCAGCGCGGCATGAGGACGTTCTACGGCCAAACGGGTGGACTTAGAGACGATCAGGTGAGGGATGGGGACTTTAGTGTGAGGGAAGGATCATGATGGGAGGATACCGGTGATGCCTTGCAGTTTGCTCTAGTGTCAAATATTAGGTGATTCGATGTCTATTTGTATTTCAGGTGAATAAAGAAAAGCAACGGCTTCATTTGGATAGGTATAAGTGCAACTTGTTCCTTCAGAACTTCTTTCTTGATATTACAAAACTTCTGCACTGTGCTCTCCATTTCGGGAGAACTCGGCCGTCATATGTAGATTTCCCAGCCGTTCTTTGTGAGCGCTGCCGCGGAGATCTGTTCCGGGTCCGGCTCCGGCCCGGTCCGCCGCTCCGGGCTCCAGTAATGGCCGGGCGGCGCGGCGACTCGGCTGACGAACGACCTCCCATCCCGTCCAATGTCTCATGCATGCGGATTTATTCGGTTCCTCTCCAGACGGCTGTAGGAATTTTCACAAGTTATGGCCCGCCCCGATCCGACAATATTCGCTGTCATATGTCACATACATCATCAAGTTGTTCTTTCGCCGAGCTATCCATCGTCAAGGATGCAATTTCGGCGACTGTTTTATGACGAAGTCCCGGAATCCCTCATCGCTATGCAGTTTCAAGCAGACAGAAACTGCCGCTCGGGTCCGTTTTGATAGGACGCGACCAATCACGGCTCCTTTTTTCAGACACCGCCTGTCGTCATAAAGTCTTTCTTGCTCTCATATTAGCCTACGTTAGAATAGACTCAACATACCCGTTCGTCCTTGTCTTATCCACATCAACGCATTGACCTTCTCACTCCAAATCATGACCTCGCTGACTCTGACTAAAAACTGACTCATTATCGAGTCTCTTCGCCCCAGACCGTAACCTTTCTGCTCGAATAACCATGACCTCCATGACCCAAGGTGACCCGAAACCCCTGCCCTCTCATAAAGTGACATACCCGCTCACAAATCACACCCTCAAAGCTTCGTTGTTGCATGATGTTAACTCTTCTACTACCCGTGAGCTTCCCTACGTCTACCCTACCTCTGTTCTGGCAGCCTATCGATAACACCCTGCCCTCCCCCCAGGAACCGGCCCCCTACGCCACGACGATGCTGGTGGGCGGCGCGGGCCGGCGGCCGCTGGTACGCACCTGTGGCTCTGATGAGCCCGTGCTGCGACACTCGGGCTCCGATGGAGGGCCCGTCTACGGGTCCAGCTCCGGCGGCAGCTACTCCAGAGGTGCGTGATATGGGTTAGAGGAGGGACAGAGATGGGTGGTGTGGCAAGAGGTGGGTTTGAAGAACAGACGATGAGAGGTTAACTAATGATGACATTGAAGTGTGTAAAAAATAACTCGTTGTTTGTCTGGATTAGTATGCCAATTTCCAAATACTCGTGCTACGGTTACATTTATTCCACATTAAAACGTGCTAATAGGCATGCAAATAAATCCGTGACGTATTTATTTGCATGCCTATTAGCACGTTTTAATGTGGAATAAATGTAATTGTAGCACGATGTGTCTCTTGTAATTTCTGTTAGGATGTTTCAATGTTGTTTGACATGCATGACTAACGAATTCGACGCATTCTTTTACAGCTCCGCGGACTCCTGGCTACGACACGCAGCCCAACCTGCCGTACAGGGACGACAACATCTCTCCGAACCTACCTTACCTGACCGGAGCTCACTCTCCCAACCCGCCCTACCTGTACGAGGACAACTACCCACCGGAGAGCTACCACCGGCCCGATATCAACGAGTTCGTGCCACCGCCGCCGCCTTGCCCGCCTCCGGATCTCACATCCACCCCGTCCCACTCTGCGCACTTCTCTCACCTGCCACACGCCGGCTCATCCGGCTCCGTCCGTGGGCTGGGCTCGCCGCGCGCGCAGCGTCGCCACCCGGCCGGGACTGGAACTACTGGTTCGCGGTCGGGCCGCGCGGGGCGCCAGCCGCTGTATAACCTGACGCCGCGTTGTGAGTCCGGTCCGGAGAGTGACCTGCCGGGGAGGAGGGCTGGCGAGCCTCGGCTGCAGCTCCAGGAGCGCTCCGGCGCGCCGCAGCTGCAGCTGTTTGGAGCCGCTGAGGAATCCGAGCTGTCGGAGCGCGAGCTGAGCCCCGAGTCGTCGGTGAACGGCGAGGCGGGCGGCAGCTGGGAGCCCACCTCCTGCGACGAGGACAGTGACGCCGTCGGCGCCGGGGATGAGGCCAGTTTCAGCGAGTCGGTGCTGCGCGCGGCGCGCCTGGCCGGAGTGACGGTCACGGCGGGTACCGGGCCTCCCCGTCAGGTCTCTCGCTACCGCCCGCCGCCCCCGGTGGAGGGTGGCGGAGGTAGCCTGCAGGCCCGGCCGACCAGAGCCGGCAGGAAGAGGGGTCACAGCGGAGCGAACACCCTCGACAGGACGACCGCCACTGCAGGTGAGTGGTGGGGAGATGGCGTCCGGGGGATGGAGGGAGATAGAGTAGATGACCTATCAAATTATTACAGCTTGGTTAATGGATCATTTTTAAACACCGTCACAGTAAAACGGTTTGTGTTTAACATTGTTTGAGTTTCTCGGTGAACAATTTTATATGAATGTAATCATATCAAATAGCCGAACTTGTACACGTCATTCGCAGTCGCCCCTCTTACATGATTTCGAAGCGTTGAATGACGAATATCTCTCTCCTTTCTTTCCCAGCGGGCATTCCGGAGCAGTACCCTCCGAACAACCTGAACCAGAGGAACTACCGGACTGAGGACGACGTCCATAGCGAGGAACGAGGCCCACTTCTGGCTACAGGACCCTCGTGAACGATGGGGGCCACAGAGCCTCGAGAACGACCGGGGTCCAATCCTGGCCATAATGCTCTAGTGAGTGGTCGGGGCCCACTCATGGTCACAATGCTCTCGCAAACGACCGGGGCCGGATGATGGAGTCACCTACCGCTGGTCAGTCGTCTAATGTCAACCGTCAGCAGTCAGTCACTCGTCAGTCAACCGTCAGCGTCAGTCGCCAGTCAATCGTCAGTCATCACCATCAGTCAGTAGTGAGTCAGGCTTCTGAGCTGGACCCATAGCTGATTGGCGTGGATTAAAGTGATCTCCCAGCGTGCGCCGATGGATTTCTACCAGTGATCACCGCTAAGCCGTGTTTACAGTACCGGGTATGACTGGAAGACATCCTCGTGTCTGTCACAGCACGTAAGCTGGGATTTCTGGTCACTGACCGAACTAGCACGATGCATTGATATTGGCGGAAGTCAACCACGGCCTTGAGTTATTGGTTAGACTTTCAACGCGGGAGCCACGAGGTCTCTTCTTACGAGGAGGATGCTTTTGTTATCGGGGAGAGTACCTTGTGTGTTTGGTACACACTTCACACGCGCACTGCATTGGATTTGACCTATGGATTCTTAACGCGGTCAGTGAGGTCGCCTGGCCCGGTCAGGTCGCGTTGACCGCGTCTGGCTCCCACGCACAACGTGTCTGAGGAGCAAGGCACGTGACTGCTAAGAGACTGAGCTGGCACGGCCCGTCTGAGATTGGTCTGACGTGACCTACGCTAGTGATGTCGGAGAGCACATAGGCGCAACATATGCTGACGCTCAGGACATTGGAGCTCTTTGTCAAGTGTGCGACTGTTGGCTATGCGTAGACACAATCGTGCCAGATCACAGTCATGTGTGTCGAACTCTATCGAATCCGTGGATGTGCCGCGGCGCGACTCTGTACCGTGGACTAAGCTATAGAGAGTGAACGGCTGTGATATTTATATATAAACGATAGCTGCAGTGTCCTGTGTCGCCGCAATAACTTCCTCTGTGATGGAGAGGATGATTGGGAGAGCGGCGCTGTTAGAAATCAGGGTCCGGTGCGCGACGACTTTGTAGAAACAGGGATAGGGGGAGGGCGGGAGAGGTAGAATGGCGAGCGGTGGACAACTAGTCACATAAATGGCTCCACAACTTGCCATATCTCAATCGATAATGCCAATAAACAGTTGACAATGCCAAAGTGTTTATGTTTTCTTTCGCCGATCATAAACTGTGTTACCTACCCCGGCGGTCTTACCTTTCCCCCGACTGTTTGCGGTATGATGTGAGCGATTTACCTAAATGTCATTGAAATTTGACAAACCTTGACCTGACACTGACCCATTGCTAAACACAGCGTCGTGCTTGCAGAATCATTCAGTGGTGTGTCTTACTTTGGGTACATGTATTGTCATGATTACAGCCCGCGGTCATAATTCGAATGAATTAGATCGTTAAATGCATTAAATTGCACATCTAGTTGCATGATACTTCTCCATTTCCATAAGGTGCATGTAGCCATCATTAGCCTCCTGCTGCATTCCATAAAATATTTACGTAACTGTTGGAGTTAGTTATTCTCGCCGCTTGTTTTCGGCGATGGTCGGCAGTGTCGCTTATTTCACACACTCTTCTCTATTTATATCTTCATTGCAAAACTCATTACCCTCCCTGCCTCAGATAGGTCCATACTCCGGCGACTGAGGGTGACTCTCCAGACAGTAAATCACGGACTGTCTCGTCAACAGCCGTGTAATGACGGACTGACAGTGCCCACTCGTCTTCATTACCAATCTGCCGGGGGTGACCGGACCGTCACCGCGTCACCCCCCCCCCCCCCCCTGGGACGGTGGGACGCCCCCTTCCCAGGCGGGCCATCAGCGAGCGCGACCCTGCCGAGAGGCGTGTGGTCGGCCCACCTCAGACGCGACCGACATCCCACCGCACACGGGCTCCGACCGTTTCGACACCCGGCGCGCGACCCCGAGCGCCGCCGCGGCTAACCGCCAACCGCCGACCGCGGCGGTGTGTGGGCGGTGGGCGGGACACTGTGCGAACTGTGCACCATCCGTGCACAGTGCGCAGCCCCCGCTCTGGGTCAGAGGTGCCCCACCGTGGGCTGATTACTGCGACTGATGGATGAGATCACGACAGGCGCGCGTGCACCGCGCGCGGGGACGTGCCCTGCGGTCAGTGAAGATGTCGCGCATGGCATTGGCGGTGACAGCCAGCGACCGTCGTAATTAAATTATGGCGTACGTAAATGCGGATTTATACGCTCGAAGTATAATACATTGATAACGGTCGTCAAAAGCGTATGCATTCTGGTATGCCATCAAATTTGTTAGATCTAGAGCATAGACCTAGGCATATGCTCCACATTTAGGTAATGTGAGAGCAGAAGTAAGTAATATGGTTAAGTAATGACATAGACCACTATATACCCAGTGGTATATAGTGGTCTGTGGTAATGATTATCCTGTAGGCTGTAGGTATAACTATATGCCTACAGCTACTTAGGCGGCGGAACGGGGAGGACACCGGGGCGCCGTGCCCCCTTTGATTTTGGCATTTTAACCCTCGCCCGTAAACCAGGGCCTATTTTAACATGTTAACTGGGGGGGCAAATGCCCCCGCACTCAACAGAATTGCCCCCCTAGTCGTCGAGATTTGCCCACTATAAAAATGGGCATAAAGGAACAGGGTGACAAACAAACTACGTAACTACTGTGACTTGTTTTGCAATGGGTGTCAAATGAGTCAGTCTGTAAGTAATGACCAGTGGTGTATCTAAGGGTGGGTCATCATATGGGTCATGACCCCCCACCCTCTTGGGGCCCGGGGACACCACAGGCCTGCCAGGGGCACCACCGGCCTGTCAGGGGCACCACAGGCCTGTTGGGAGCACCATCAACCTAGCAAGAGCACCATAGGTCTGCCAGGGGCACCACAGACCTGCCAGGGGCCCCACCGGCCTCGCAGGGGCACCACCTTGGGCCTGTCAGGGGTACCACCACAGGCCCGCCAGGGGCACCATAGGCCTGCCAGAGGCACCATAGGCCTAGCAAGGGCGCCACGGACCTGTCAGGGGCACCAGAGTTCTAGTATGGACACCACATGCCTGGCAGGGACACCACCGGCCTCGCAGGGACTGGGACACCTTGGGCTTGTTAGTGGCACCACGTGCCTGTCGGGGACACTCCAGGCTTGTCAGGAGCACCACAGTCCTGTCAGGGCCCAGGGGCACCACCGGCCTCACGTGGACACCACCGGCCTCGCAAAGGCATCATGGGCCTGTCAGGGGCACCACGGGCCTGTCGTTGGAACTTCAGGCTTGTCAGGGGCACCACAGTTCTTTCAGATGCACCGGCGGCCTAGCACCATGGCACCATGTTTGGCCGAGGTCGCGATTCGGCGTATGTCGCCTCGCATTAGCCGCGCGTTTGCAGTCTTTTCGTGGTTTCAAACGTTCAAACATGGGATATGATGTTGCTCCCATGCATTAGGGTGGGTGTCAAGATCACCGGAAGGTCAGGTCAGGTCATTGACCTTTGATGACCTCGGTACACTTTTTCGAGTTTTACATGTTTCTAGGCCAGTTTTTGCAGCTGAATTCGAATTTAGCAACCATTTGAACATTTACGAAGTAGTTTTGGTGCCTTCGTAACATGCTACGAAGCTATCAGAGGCGGTTGACACCTACTAGGAATACCCGGCAGGACCCCTACTGGTTGACCTGACCTGACCTGACCCGACCTGGACTAAATGCATGAAGACATCATCTGTGATCAAAACTAACATGATATTCGTGATCAGCACCCCGAAAAACCATAGCAGCCACTCTTTACGACGCTCTAACATGTCCCGATTTTCCCGACTTTTGGGTCAATGACCTGACCTGGAAGGTCAACCGATGACCTAGGACCTTAAAATTGGGTATAATCGGCTTCCTTTCATCACGGGCAACACGGTCGTTTTTCCGCGAAGCTCTAGCTCGATCAGGGGCGAAACGGCAAGGGGGATGGTCCAACGGACCCCCCCCCCCCCCCTATACGCTCGCTACTGGAAACACCAATACGGGCGAGGGTTAATGGATTATTAAAGACAATTTTCCAGGTTGCCCCCCCCAGTCAAATTCCCTTAAAATAGGCTCTGCCGTAAACGGCGATCTGCCACCTTCGCCCATGCAGGGGGGGGGTTGGTGCGACCCCCCCCCCCCTTGGCGTTTGAAAACGGAGCGTCGTAGAGCTTAGCGGAAAAGACCAACGGATTGCTCTCGCCGAGATCTCGCGATTGGTGGTATATTTTTTGGTCCTAGGTCAACATTTGACCTACTTTTGACCGGTCAAAGGTCAAATTTTCGGAAAAATAGACTTTTTCAAATTTTCCGCGGCGATTGCGGCAAAACGGTGGGAGATATCGACTTGAAACTTTCACTATCGTGTTCCTTGATCAATTCTCTATCGTTTGGTATGTATTTCGTTTCCCTAGCTCTAAAAATGGCGCGTTGGGAGCGCCGGAAGTCGGCAAGGTCACAGTCGGCGGCAGAAATTCGAAAAATCAAAATTTAAATTTTTGAAATCTGATTGTATTTTTGGATTTGGGATGTCCATTTGCTCCCTATAGAAGCTAATATTGCTGCATATTCCCATTGAGGTGACAAGAATTAGCAAAATAGTGGTTCGGGCGCTTTTCAAAAATAGTACCGGATGCTGTTCCTCTTGTGACGTCATAGCTCCGTGACCTGACCTGACCCGGTCAAGTTTCTTATACCATATGATAGCCAATACTTGCCCCAACATGCATGGGAAGTTTCATCACGATCCATCAACCGATGTCCGTACCACCGGCAGGAAACCTCGGGCGTTGGCACTCAGTTTGTGAAAATCCGGCCGGAGGCTGTTCCCTTTGTGACGTCATAACTCCGTGACCTGACATGACCCGGTCAAATTTTTTTTATCAAAAGATGCGCAAGGTTTGCCCCATAAGGTACCCAAAATTTGGCGGCGCTGCGCGCCGCCGTTTTTGCACTATTTCCGAAAAACCTCAGGGGGGGGTTGCACCAACCCCCCCCCCTACATGGGCGAGGGTTAACATTAGCCCTATGGGCGTTGCATGGAAAGAATGAGACCAAAAGTCGACAGTGCCCCCCTTTAATTGAAGGTGCTCCGCCGCCACTGTACAGCTATGTCTAGTTTAAATATCCATTTGAGTAGGATTGCGGGTTTTTTGAATTGCTCAGTTTTTGCAGCGAGCTTTTTCTCTTAGGGCTTGCGAGATACCCGCGGAAACACATATCTCTTCAGCATTGCGCGCCACACAGGAATGCGGCTGAATCACGTGCTTTTGTGAGCGAGGTGCTTCCCTCCGGGAGAAATTCGCCGTCCCCATATGCTTAACACGGAGCCGAGCGGCGGCTGACAGGTGGCCGGCTCTCGGGAGATCGGCAGCCGACACTCGAAAAATCGACAAGCCGCCGCTGAATGCGCGTGCGAAGATGAGCGGGGTGCCGCCGTTCCGGAGAGACGGCTGGAAAATTCCACCGGCCGGCCCGGCGGCAGTGTGTTGGGCGGCGGGCGGCGGGGCGGGGTTTCCCCGTCCAGCGGCCGGCAGCGCTGAGCCGAGTCGTTCCCACGGTCTGGCGGCCAGCTGGGTGGGGGCGGGGTGGGGAGTGGGGCGGCCGATTGCCAGCCGCTTCTCCACGGGTAGGTGCTGCCACCTGCGCAGTAGTTCCAATGGCGGCCGCCAGGCCCGTGTGCGGGCCGTGCGCGGTAGTTCCGCCAGCGGCCGCCAGAGGTCACGCGCGTCGTGTCTAACCTGACGAAGCTACAAAAAGTTAGATAACTTTGATAAGAGGGACGGTAAAGCCACAATTCCAACGCTGAATGTTGGGCAAAAGCAAAGGGATCCAACACAGCCATCTGTATTTACTGTATTTACCCTTTTCTGTCAGCGATAAGCCCCAGCAATCGCACCGCTGTAAAACTCGCAAGCTGTTCACCGTGCAGGGTATTGCATTATAACCACCCACCGGCTCTCTCAACGTATGTGTAATCGCTTAATAGGTAGGACGCTAAAACAAGTTAGAAATGATAGGTAGGTGAAACAAAATACAAATTGGGAACAAGTATAATTCAAATTACAAATAATTCATTGGAACAAATCAAAATTATCTGAGACCAAGGCAAATTCGCAAAG